TTGGAACTCGTGGCATGATTTCATATCCTAATGGGAAGCTTGTTGCTGAATTCTATTAATAATTCTTTTCCTTTGTTATTTAACCAAAAAGAATAGAAAACAACAAATTAACATAGTGTGGAAAGACCACCAGGGATACTAAGATTTTTGCCTTTATTCATTTTTTGCAAATACATGCAATAATATTTAAGACATACTCATAACAGATTAGAAAAATGAACTATATTACTTGAAATATGTGTTAAACTTGATTTTTCAATAATTAGCTAATTCTTAATGTTTTAAGTAATAGAACATTTTTATATCTTTCCCATTCATTGATTTTGTCTCCTTCAAACTTAATTTTTAGATATCGAACTTTTTAAAATCCTTGTATCAGAATATACTTGGTGATTAACTAGTCAAATAAATATGATCCTGATTTTTATAATGGGATATTTTGTTTGTATTTAGATAAAAAATTTTTCATGATAATTTTTACCCTCAGTAAATTGTGTGGATTTTTACACAAATTTAAAACAGTTCTTTATTTATGATTTATTCCTTTTCTCCCTTTTTTATACACTTAAGAACAGCGACTGTAGTCTGCCCTCCCATGACCTCTAAATTTTAATTATTTATGTGCGTTGTAGAAATAGGAAAAGACAATGGAGTCACATATGTCTTTTAAAATGTTGTTTTAAGATATTCTAAATGCTGGCTTAAAGAATATTTAAACAAAACTTGTTATCTCAATCCATTTCATTTTAGAGTCTATTTTTATTTTTTATTGATATATTTCTACTTGAATAATTTTCCTTTATAGTTTATCAATTTCGTATTTTTCTTAATATGTATTTAATCAGTTGAATTCAAGATACTCAGAAGCAGGAACAGCATGAAATGAAATGAGCCATTCTGAATCTGTGACTTTCTTCTCTGACCACTGCACTTTATTCCATAGAACTGATCATTGTCAATGCAGCACTGTAAAGTATTCCCGGCTGTTTAGTGTTAACATGGAGGGTGGAATCTCTCACAGTTTTTGACCTACAGAAAGTTCTGCAGATATTCGTTATTTCAGATGTGTTTTAATAGAAACTGAGGAGCAGAGTCTAAACTTGAAATCCCTGCCTTTCCAGAATTATATAACAGACCAGGCATGCAAGTTGCCAGATTGATGACATTGTGCTTATAAGCACAGTGACTGGAGTCAGATTGGGTTCAAATTTTGTGTCTCAAATTATTTATCAGTAAAAAGAGGATGTTAATAATACATTTACATCTACCTCATGGTTTTATTGGTGAAGTATAATTTTAAAAAGTATTTAGCATGGAGACTGGGAATTAGTAGTAGATGAGTAGAATCTATTGTTTTTACAAAGTGTAAGAAACTTTGACTAGTATTTTTATGCATCTCTGGGGAGTATAGAGAGGCACAGTCAAAAGAGCATGGTCAAATGGAATTTTTTTTTTTTTTGTAATTCTGTTTTCTTAGTGAAATCATATTAATTCACAACTATAACTTTGAAATGTACCTATTAAAGAGACTAAAGAATAATGTTCAAATATATGAAGATTTTATTTTGAATCTATTCTTGGTCTGTGTGTGTTTTGGAAAACAAAACAAAATCGATTGACTATTCCACCTGTGTTCCCCCTTGGAATCATTGGTAATGAATATGGCTGAGAAACAGACTTATCCCATTCAGTTTTTTTTTTTAATCCTTATTCACAAAAAATCTCTATAAATGATTACTAGGTGCTAGGTATTGCTCTAGGCTCTTTCATGAAAGGAAGAATACAAAGATATGGTACCTATCTCCATGGAAATTTCAGTCAGTAGAGGAGGCTAATAAGTAGGCTGTGTAATATGTAGAGATGGCACAAAGTGCTAGGAATATAAATGGGAAAAGCACCTAACCTAGATTTAGTGGGTCGAAATTTCCCAGAAAAAGTAATAGCTAGGTAAATTGAGACCTAATGAATCGGCAGGAGTTAATCAGCTGAAGAAGGTAGAAGGGCTCAGGAGAACCAATCAGGCTGAGAAGACAACATGTCATGGAGGTCATGGAGGACAGAGACACATTGAGTAATTGAATTCATTCTGCTATGTGTTGAGAAATGAGAGAGGTAGGCAGGAAGCAAATCATGAAGGATCTAATAGGTCCTCTAATTAAATTTGGACTTTATTCTGAAGATATTGAGTAGGGGCTAATATTGGTAGGGGCTAATTTGTTTCAATTAGTGTTTTCTAAAGACTACTTTTGCTAGAGACTTGATTGAAGGGAGAAAAGTCTGAACTACAGCTATCAAAAGTGTGTAGCTGAGGAACAATGGTGATGGAGATGAAGAGAAATGAGAGCACTTGAAAAATAATTAGAAGGTGGAGTTTAGTTGGTTATGGGGCCTGAGGGGAAAGGAAGAGTTCAGTTATTTCTTTTTAATATGTTTCTACATATCCTGACAAATCAGATCTCTAAAATTAGTTTTAAATATATACTAGTGATAGATAATGACAGTCTCTAATTCCATTGTAACTGTGCCTTTCACTGTAGCACAGTGCCATTGAGCTCAGTGCTGCTTGAAAATCTAATCCTATGAATTTGGAGGGTGGGAAACTGAGCTGAAGGCATATATTAAGGACACTACTGTACTGAAAAATCATGTTACATAGTAAATAGTGTACCTCATCATAGTTTTGGAATCTCTTGTTTGAAAGTCTTTAGTTTGAATGATAGGATTTTGAGCTCTTGGGGGAAGAAAGGAGTAGAATCAAAAATGGTACAGAATAAATATTGTGCAACTTGATACTATTAAGAAAAATACAGGATAACATTAATTGTTGTAATAAGCAATCTGGTATTTTTGCAGTATACCATCAGAAATACAAATACATATGATGATAACAGGAAAATAATTGGACAAATATATCTTGCAGTTGTGAGAAAACATACATGTTGAAATGTCAGGACTAATATTTGTCATATCTCAGTCAGTTCTACATTACAGTAATTCTGAATGCTGACCTTTCTAAAACATTTCTAAAATGGGGTTTCAGCCTTCTCTATAAAATCTTTGAAAATAATGGAGTTACTAATGAGGAACAAAATTGAGTGACTGTTATAATCACATTTTTTAGCCATAGATTTCTGGGGAGCTGAAATTGTAAGAGAGGTAATGGAAGGAGTACAGTGACCAGTGTAGTCACCTGCTTTTATATGTAAATAATTTTTAGTTCATCTCCTTTAGTTTAGCTTAGGAAATTCATTTTCAGATATCACTGGGGCAAAGCAGTATTATTAACTTATTTTGATATTCTTTTTATAATAACATTTAAAGTAACATCTTTAAGTGTTATTATAAATGTTATTTAAGATTTGAATGCTCAAAGAAAATTGTACTCTAATACCTTTGTAAGTAAAAGTTAAATTGAATATTTGTTTGGTTTATTTTTGTTGAAAGTTCATGAAATTGTTCCTATACTCAATGGTCATCTTTCAGGATATAATGAATATCAATTGTAGCTTTAGCTACAGTTTTTAAGACTATATGTAAGAAAGTTGGTTTCAAATAATATATGTGTAGCTTTAAACAAGTCCAGTAAACTCTTTGGAACTATGTCAGTTTTTAGTGTGCTTTAAAAAAAAACGTGTAGAAAAAAAACTGAGTATACAAGTAGAACATGTAATGTTTTAGTATCTCTAATACATTTGTTGGATTTGAGATCTGGTTAATTAACAGATTATATTGAGCCTCTACTGTGCACTTGGTAATGATGCTTGTATGAAATTAAATAGAAATTAGGAAGATAGTAGTATAAACAATTTGTATAAATTCATTATTTTTATACAGATAGTTGGGAATGTAGCTCAGTGGTAGAGTGCTTGCCTATAGTGCATGAAGCCTTAGGTTCAATCTTATCACCAGGTGGGGAAGAAGATTCATATTTGGAAATAAATCAATTTGCTTTTAAAAGTTATTGACCACAAAGATATTGTGACAAAAAGGTACTTAACATTGAAAGGAAGGGAAAGTGGTGTGAGATCAGAGAAAGTAGGCAAGTATCATGTCATGAGGGACTTTGCCAATGGAAAGGATATAGAATATATATTTTTATAGAGGAAAGAATATAGAATATAGCTTTTATAGAGGAAAGAATATAGATTTTTATTCTCAGTGAAATGGGAAGCCAATAGTTGGAGCATTTTAAGCAGGAAATACACCCAGTTGATTTACATCTTAAAAGGAGTACTGTGGTTGCTGTGTGGATAATACATTTTACTTGGAGTACAAGTAAAACCAGAAGACCAGTTAATAGGCTTTTACTCTTATTTACAAAGAAAATATGGTGGCTTGATAATAGGGCCTAGTAGTAATAGAACTGGGGAGAACTGATTAGGTATGGGGTATGTTTGGGGAAGATTTAACAGGACCTATTTATGTATTAGATGTGGGGTTTAATTCAAAGAGGAATCACGGTGTTCCTATATTTGGGGCTTGAACAACTATGGAGATGAATAGAGTTGCCATTTCTTTAAATGGGCAATAGGTGATGGAGGCCTGAGCATGATTACAGATTGAAGTGAACCCATCAGAAGGGCAATATGAAAATTTTCAAGGAAAGTAACTCATGAGGTAGTGATGTATCAAAGAGAAGGGGTATACAAGAGGGAATTGATTGAGACATTAGTGGAGCAGTTAGCTTTCAAGCCCAGGAAGAGGAGGATAGAAGACAGAAATTTTAAGATGTAAGGGAAGTAAGTTGAAAATGCAAGTAGTATGACTTTATCTTCAGTAAAATGCTAGACTTATTACTATATTTGTTATGAACAGCTTCCTACTAATTGTTTTGTACTCTTCCTATTAACTTTCTAATTTAAGTATTTTAACCTTTACTTAGTGTGTGTGTGTGTGTGTGTGTGTGTGTGTGTATGTGTGTGTGTGTGAGATATATATATATATATATATATATATATATTTATATATTTATATATTTTTTTTTTTTTTTTTTTTAACAGGTTGTAAGTTCCACAAATGGAGAGTTAAACACAGATGACCCTACTGCAGGACGTTCAAATGCACCCATCACAGCCCCTACAGAAGTAGAAGTGATGGATGAAACCAAGTATGTATTCATTTTGCTTGTTTTGATAACTTCTTTTCTTATACTATGCATGTTCGAGATTTATAGTCACATAAAATTATTTCAGAGAATTTTTCTTTCAAGGAATAAATGCATGCAAAACAAGTGGTGTGATTAATTATTTTAATCACTAAATTTAAAATAGTCTTATTCTAGTAAATATTTTAATAATAAAATGTAGTTATTTAAGAATTGTGCTCATATTCTTATATATAAGTAATAATAAGTTTTTAGTTTTTAACATTTAGGATTATTGCATGAAGGTTTATTCCTGTATTATTATTTTTTTCCGTAAGAATAAGAATCAGTTTTTTTCTAGAATGTTGCATGCTTTACTATTGGTTTTAAAAATATAAGTTCTAATAATGCTGCTTGGAAAAATTAAGCATGAAAAATAATGTGATCATTTCAGTGTGGGTTGATTCTGATGATCTCTTTCTCTCTCTCTCTCTTTCTCTCTCTCTTCTTGTATTTTTTTTTTTCCGTGTGTGTGTATATAGCTGCCAGAAAGTGTTGAACATGTGGTGAGTTTTCAAGTATAGGCAGGCAGAAAATAGCTCCATTGACTATAATTTCAAAGATTTAGCACTGCTTTTTTTTTTTTTCCCCTAAACAAACCTCTTAACTTAGAAGCTACAGTTGGTAAAAGTTATTTGAAAATATTTGCTGTCATTGCCATCAGCTCTTTAGAAGCAAGAAATAATTGTTTGAGGAGCTCTTTTGCCTGCTACAACTATTTTCCTCAAATGACATTAATTTTGGGGCACTTTTTAATTGCATAGATGGAATGTGAACACTGCTTTTGCTTATGCATTTGTTTTCTAACAACGGGTTTTTGTTACTTTACAACAGATATATTTTTGAGTTAAGTTTTCTTTTTTCCTGTTTGTCATTATTAAATACACTTAGCAGATTCCTCCTTCCCCCATAGTATCACTAAAATAGTATTTCACTTACTAACCAATTATCGTCATTGCATACCATATTCTTATTAAACTGTCATGAGAGAAAAATTTAGAAATCCTCTAAATAGTCCTGATAATCAACAACATTATGAAAAGTAATATCTTTATTAGTAGAAATAATATTGAATTTAAATTACATTCTGGCTTTTAGTTGTAATACTGTGCTTAAAATGCTTTTCTCAGTTTCAGGATAAATTTTGAGTCAGCATGGAGTGAATAAAGGAAGTTGCTTAGAGTAGTGAATTTTGAAGCATTTTACTTATTCACTCTTTTTAGTTATGTGCAAACATTACATACAATTTCTTAAAAAATGCTCATTTGTTGGCTGTAAAATGAGACTACTTTTGTGGATATTTCTTTTTAAAGAGCACTTTAATTTCCATTTTAATCAGTTTTGACTCTAGAATTTATGGACACTGTGACTAAACATAAGAGTATTCAAGATATAATTAGTTAGTGATTTACTTATGTGTTTTTAAATAAAAAATAAAAATAGCAGTTTATGTATGTGAATTTTAGATACCACCCTAAGAATACTTAGGAAAGTATAGTGGCACTGTGGCAAGTTAGAATGTATTTATTCTTTGTAGTTAAATATGGATTGTAGAATCCTACTTTTACCACTTATTTGTTACATTCTTTAAGCTTGTTTCTTTTTCTGTAAAATGATGCTAATAATATCTACCTTATAGGTTATTGAGAAAATTAAATGTGATAAAGTGCTTATGTTTTGTTTGGCACATGGCAGGTACTCAGTAGCTGTTATCATCCCTTTCTGTTTCTTCATTATCAGCTTCCAGTGGTCTTTCTCATCTGCATTCTTTCTAATCTTGTGCCTGTTCATCAGTGTCCCATAATATTACTTCTATACACACCCTCTTCTCTGAAACTGTCAATTTCTGTTAACATCATTCTAGAGACTTGCTTTCAATTAAATCTATTACATTTATCTGTTGGTTTATTCAACAGTTATACTATTGGATTTCAGAAATATCTGATACTGGGCTTGTTTTAAGTAGGTTACAACTAACAAGAAAGATTGTAGTTGTTTTAGGATGTATCAGTATGATATACATATTATGAAACAAGTATTAAAATCTTAGAATTTGTAAAGAAAAGACCACTTCCTGACTTGGATAATGAGAGAATGCTTTATGAAGGTGGCTTTGAAGAATGGTGTAGTAATTTATTTAGTTGGTATGGGTGTTGTTGTGTGTGTTTATGGGTTCAGGTCTCATTTCTGTAGGCATTGGAGAATGAGATTGAAGAAAGTGATGGGAAAGCTATTCCTGAAGGAACTATTCTCAATTGCTTGGAGCATCGGGTCCAGATTTCTTGCCATGACACCAAAGCCCTTTTACATTTTCATAATCTGGCCCCTGACTTTTTTTCCCCAGCCCTATTTTTCATTCTAAAGTCTATGTTCCATCGATTTGTTAAGTCTGCCTTTGTTATATTATTCTCTTTATGTACCTCTCACTTTCATGAATTTCATGAAATCAAGGCTTTTTTATCTTCACATCCCTAGTAGTCAAAATAGTACATCTCAATATATTATTAGTACATGATTGACTAAGAAATGTGGTATACCAGTGTGATGGAATGCCATCCAACAACATAAAGAAGTGAAATTGAAAACATTTTAAGTGAAAGAAGCCGGACAAGAGGACACATGTTATGTGATTCTGTTTAAATATACTGTCAGTTTAGGCAAATATGCAGACGGCACAGGAAGTAGATTAGTGGTTGCCTAAGGCAGAGAATAGGTGGATGGGAGTGACTGCTAATTGATAATGGAATTTCTTTATAGTCCGACGAAAATGTTATGAAATTAGTGGTGATGACTGTGCAATGCTGGATGTACTATACAGTATTGCATTGTACATGTTAAAGGGTGAATTTTATGTTATGCAAACTATTCTTTAATAAAACTGTGTTAAGGGGAAGAAAAGATAGCAACCCGTCATTTCAGTGAGAGTTTACTCTAGAAGGGTTCCAGGAATCCTTAGAACTTTTCTGCCTCTTCACTAAAAACTCTTCAAATGTAAGGTTTTGTCTTTCCTTTAATTAGGTTAGTTCTTAACATCTCTATAAGTTCCTTAATAAGTTCCTTTTATTCTCTTTTTCTATGATTAAGAAATCTAAGTATACTTTCCTTTCGTAGATTAAATCATATGGCTGTCTTCCTTCTGTTACCATTTTGCAGAGAACCTGCTGGGAATCTGCCTAGAATTCTGTTTCAGAATTTCTTTCCTTTTTCTGATTGGCAAAGATCCTCTTACCTAGTCCCATTATTTAAAATGTATTCTCTGTTGGACATTTTAGCATTCTCAGGTTTCTTAAAATAGTACCTCATTGGGACACATAATTTCCAAATGACAGAAAATATTCTGTCCCCTCATGTATAAGTTGGCTTCTTCATTAGTAAAGAGATTTTGCTTTATCTGTTTTAGGTGAGAATTTTGTTTCAAGGTCATACAAATGATAGCAAGCTCATCATTCCTTCCAGAAATTTAGAACAAGATTTCCTTTAGTTTAATTATTATTTTTTAGGTAGTAGGATACTATCTGTGTTTGTTTCTTCCACTTCTTTTCCCCCTACTAATATTCACTGAACAGATTATTGTTTGTTAGAAGATTATGAAGATATGTCAAGGCTTCCATAGCACCAGAGAGACAGGAAGTACATCAGTGACTTTCCTATAGTGTTTTCAACCTTAGTTTTGCATTATAATCACCTGGGGAGTTTGAAAATATGCTTAGGTTATACATTCAGAGTTTCTGATTTAAGTAGTTTATCTGTGGTGAAATCTAATTATCAGTATTTTTAAAAAGTTTCCAGAGAGATTCTAAGGAACAACTGGCTTGAGAACCATTCATATAATGCAAGGCATTATGAGATTCACACTACAGTAGAGGGACAAAATGTTATTGGAATTTAGGGAACAGAGCATGTACTTCTAGCTGGGAAGATCAGAGAAATCCAAATGGTTAAGAGTACTTTTGCAATAGTTCTGAAAGATAAGCATAATTTTTTAAATTGGGTAGCTCAAAATAGATAAGCATATTTGATAAGGAGAATTAGTGGAAGGAGTCAGAGAGAAGAGGTTGAGCAGTGATGTGGGGCAAGGAAAAAATGGAGCAAGTTTGAGGAGTAACCCCTGTGAGTGTAGAAACTATGAATTCGTTAATGGAAACTGCAGCTGGCTATGTGTCCAGTCCCAAAGGACTATGATAGCCAGGGAAGGAAATATGAACATTATATTTCTCACTACAAGAAAGCAAGCTGTGATTTAAATCTAGAAACAATACAATCCAGTTGGACTTTAGGAAAATTAATCTGGTAGCAGTTAAGAGGCTCTGTCACTTCCTGGGGTTCATCAGATTGCAAAGAGTGGCTCAAAACTACAAATGAAGTTTTCCTGTGAAACTAGATAGATAATTTATATTTTGGGTTAGTAGTCTCTAATAATTAAACTGTTGTTTAAAAATTATATTAGGATGCCAGGTGTGGTGACATATGCCTGTAATCCCAGTGACTAGGGAGGTGAGGCAGGAGGATCACAAGTTTGAGGTCAGCCTCAGCTACTCAGTGAGATCTTATCTCAAAATATGAAAAGGGCTGGGGATGTAGTCCAGTGGTAAAGCACTTGTGGATTCAATTCTGAGTACACACACAAAAAAAGGTATTAAGATGACAGTTTGGGTCCATTTAGTTTCTAAGAGTTCAGGACTTTGATAGTCTTTAAAATTATAAAGATTAACAAAACATGTTTCCTCAAGGACCATCTTAATAAGAAAGAGAAAGGCATTAAAATTATGGTACAAATTAATAAATAGTGTGTAACTTGTTTTAGGGCGAGGATAAATGGATTTTAGGTGCAAGGAAGAGCATTTGTAAAGATAAGGGAATATAAAAGACCATATGGTATGTTCTAGTGCCTTGTTCTGTTCCTCCCTTCCTGCTTAATGCAACATGTGACTGAGAAGAGCATAGACATAAACTGGGAGCCAAATTTGAAGAGTATTGTGGACTTAATTCCTTAGCCAATGTAGAACCATTGATGAGATTTAAGAGGAAAAGGGCATGGTTGTATTTATGATTGAGACACTGAATGGCAGATTGGCGAGTAGACTACAAATTCCATTAAAAGACTAATCAATCACAGAAGCAGGATGAAAATTTCTGAACTAACCTAGCATGAGAAGATACAAAATACAAACAGGAAAATTTTTGCAAGTCTTCCAGACTGAGAGACTTGCCCATGGATAGAGAGGAAAAATTGGAGATGAGGATAGGCCTATATGTTCCTACCTGGAGTAGTGATGTGGATGGTTTTCCTTTTTAATCATAATTCTTCTTGTTTAATTGAGCAGTTCCTCATTTTTAAAAATCAAGAGATTCAAAGTTAGAAATATTACATTTAAAGTATTAAGGGAAAAAATCCTTTGTTCAATAATTAAAGATTAGATGTCATAAAATATTTTCTGTATACTCATCAACGCAGGTCAGGAGAAACTAGATTCTGAAGTCTTAAGTGGGTAGGTTCTGGGAGGCACAAATAATCTTGGCTGAAGGATGAGCCAGTGAGTTGTTGTGGTAAGTAAGAGCTTCTGATCCAGATAGGAAATCATTTCAGTTTTGGGATGGGTTTGAGAGAAATAAGTGTATTACAGAGATCCAGGCAAACAAAGCAAATTCTAGATGAGGAGAAAGGCAATGATAGAGGGGAAATGTTGGTGCATTATCAATAGCAAAACCTTGGTCCTTGCCATCTATGTTTTCTTCATGGTTCAGGAATTTGATCCATTATGATTCTTGTTCCCTAGTAACATTTAAAGAAACAACCTTAGAATTCATCAGAAGAACTTAATATTTAATCCCAAAGGGTTTGGGAGTAGCTTTAAAGCTTTAGGCTAGCTACTGAATGATGTCAGATAATGATTCTTCCTTGGGAGAACCTGTTGGCTCAGTAGAACAACATAAGGAATAATAAAGAAGGAGCCAGGGGGAGGGGAGAAGACAGCATTGACAAGAACATGATTTTAATGTTCGATAAGCTTAATCAGTTTCCTTAGGTTAGTTGCCAATAGCCTATACCCAAAGAAACCCCAAGTGAGTATGAATTAATGAGCAAGAAAATACAAACAGCAAAGAGAGAAAATATATTTTAAAATTTGCATGTATGGATAATTTTCTAATATCAGATAGTTGAATTTATTTATAAAATAATTTGCTCATATTATCTGTGAGAACTGTTATATGTGCTAATTCCTAGAATCCTTGCTGTTATTATAGTAGTTATCCATATTAACTGGTGTTCACACCCTGCTTTCAACCATACCAAGGGCTAAAATTACTTTGATTTATATATATATATATTTGCCTATGCTCATATAATTTGAAGGCATGGAACCATGTAGTATCTGCAGTGTTCAGCCTATAGTATCAGACTGAAGCTCTTTTGGAAATGGACAAATAGAAGAAGTGACCCTGATGTTACATTTAGGGAGCAGTGCTTCTTAACCTTGGGATTGAGACTCCTTTAAGAATCTTCTGCAAACCATTTTTCTCCAAAACAGAATATTTTAGGCACTACAATACCATTTTATGAGGTTTTACTAGAGTTTGTGTTCCATGGCTATGAACTGTAGAGTTAGAATATGCTTGAGCATTTTGACTAACTTCTAGAAATTAGTTGCATTTAGGAGAGAAAGCATTCTTTTATTAACAAATATTAAATGAGTGTCAGCTTTATGTTAATTTGTTGGAATATATCTGTGAGCAAGTCCTTAGAAAGATTAAATTCTAATGTGAAAGAATATTATGTACTTTTGTAAGAGGAAGTGAGGGGAAGGGGAAAAATAATACAAGGGGGACAAATGAATGTCAGTAGAGGGGGAAGAGAGAGAAGAGGGGAGGGGAGGGGGGATAGTAGAGGATAGGAAAGGCAGCAGAACACAACAGACACGAGTATGGCAATATGTAAATCAATGGATGTGTAACTGATGTGATTCTGCAATCTGTATATGGGGTAAAAATGGGAGCTCATAACCCACTTGAATCAAATTGTGAAATATGATATATCAAGAACTATGTAATGTTTTGAACAGCCAACAATAAAAAATTTAAAAAAAAAAGAATATTATGAATAAATCGAAGAATTTTAAAGTGGTAGTAAGTAATTAGAGGAAAATAATACTGATGTAATACAGTGATTGTATGAGAGTAGGTTTCTGATTATTAACCACTAAAACTATAAATCAGCTGTTTTGGAAATGATTTTTAAGAAATTAGCCACAGATTAAAACACCATTTTCTTCTTATCTTGTGTAATTATGTATTTTGAAATCTGTATGCATGAGTGTTGCATACATTCATATCACATAAAGCAATGCTGCCCTCTGGTGGTAGTCATCTTAATAGCGGAGCAGTCCTTCGCAAATCTATTTTAAGAGGATTTTAGTGGGATATCTTTCTGAAAAATGTAAGTCTTTGTTTCGATTGTTTTTGAACTTAAAGGCTACAACTAGAATTCATCCATGACTCATATTTAGTCTCAAATAAATGCTTGGCATGGTTTTCTGTACTTGATAATACAAGTACAAGTATTTATACTATTTGAAAAAAGTTTATTTAAGAAATGGGAAGAAGCTGGCTCAAAAACAATACTGGAAAAATAAACTAGGTAATGTGAATCACAAATACAAGTGTGGAAAATCTGGGACTTGAGCTTGTTCCTTAAAACTTGTATTACATTAAATTTCCTGTTCTAAAAGGCTTCCATATATTAAAGTCCCTTTTTAGTACAAAGTTTTTTAAAGAATGTTCTTTGGGATTTGAAATGACAAATAATAGTATTTAGGAACAATGAACATTATTAAAATAACTTTGTATTAAATAATTATTTTCCAATGAAATATGACCAGATTCCTAAATGTAATACTTTCAGTGTTTGGCCTTTCTTCTAAATACCTCCCCCCCCCCCCCCCATGTTTTGCTTCCTACCATATGGACATTTTCTGAGTATTTTATTGAAGGATTTATTTCAGAGTAATAATTTTCATCTCATAAATTAAATTGGCTTTAATGTTTTGTTTTGCTTTTATATTTTAGAAAATTTATGTAACAGATTTGGGGAAGCACTAGATAGCTAAATTTAAAAAGAAATTTGACTTATTTTTCTAAATCCAGGAAAAATCTTTTTTTTTTTTCTTCTTCCAGTGGTAGTTTTTCTCTAGGCCCAGAACTGGGTAACTCATTGCAGGTTTTTGTGAAAAATTTAGCTAAGTGAGGTAAAAAGAATCTTTATGAATTTATAAAGATTCATAATTACATATGTTTCTCATTGAATCTTTATAAATTGATAACACAATTTTGAATTATTTGTGTTCTGTGATCTAGCCCTTATGTACTGTTTGGTACATTGTGTAACTTGGTTTCCAATATTCCATAGAAGTTCACAATCGTGGCACAAATGACTTGAAATTATTTTAAACTAATGTTTATAGAGAGATTGTGTGGTTTAATTGAATAGTGTTGATTTCTGTTAGCATTTATTTCACTGTAAGATAAAATGTCTTAACAATTATTTTATTTCCATAATCGTTTGCTGGATAGGACACTTGAAGCTACCTGCATATATCTATTATGCTTGGTTTGCAGATATGAATTAATATTCTCTTAGAATGTGAGTTGATATGAATTACAAAACTGTTTTCATAAGCTCATATTTTCTTTGAATCACAATTTTGAATTGACAGATTTTGGTGATGGAATCACCATGAACTTATATATGCTTTGCTTTTTTCAAAACTATAATACATACACCACACTTCACTGGAAAATCCAAGGATAGCTAGCCATACATGCCCTATACCTTTAGTAAATTCAAACCCAGGAATTAGAGGTGACTTTCAAAGGTTAAAAAAAAAAAGAAAAATTGAAAGAACAGTGCCTTACTGTATATGGTAGGATCTTCTGGTAGATTGACTTTCTTTCAAGTGTCAAAGGAGGAAAGAGCCATATCCTCATACCTGTATTTGAAAAACTTCCAGGCTTTTAGTTTGCAAACATGTGCATATGCATGTGTGTATATATGTATGGTTTTCATTTTTATTTTTTGGATGAATCGTGATCAGCAATTCTTATTTAACTTTCATTGTATACCATCCTCAGCATTTTTCTACAGCAGCCATAATGTATTGCATCTTCTCATGACTAAGTTTAAATAGTTACCTTAAGGATTATATCTAGACTGTTCCCCTAGGGAATAAAAATCAAGACTATATTATTTTGAGTATCTATATTTTGAATTACAAAGCTGAATCACCTTTCTTTTTTCCAGTTTGTAAATATGATGGGAAATATTGATACATAGATGTTGGGTTTTTCTTTTGATCTTTGGAATCTGAACTGATTCCTAGTGAAAATGTGAAATCCCCAGTATTAGGATCATTATTGACTTTCTAGCAATGGTGTCAACAATCAGATATAAATATCAAAGAGAAAGGGACAGACCTCTTAGGATGAACTTCATCATGAAAACGTGCCACTGTCAGAGATTATTGAGCATTCTAAATAACTTGTCTGGGTCAGCTGGGATTCAGAATACCATAGCTTCTCAATTCTTGATGCAAAGCCATTTGAATTAAGTGGTTCCCTTTTATGTTACACAGCATGTCTTGCTATAACTAAAAGGCATGTTGATGAGACACAAGAGTAATAACTCTGCCATAGTTTCACTAATATATGTGCTTCACTGGTGTGTTCACTTTCTTTTACTGGCCTGTTGCTTTTCATTACCACTTAAGATAATGTTGTATATTCAACCTTTGATAATTTTAGTACTTTCATAATAAAAGAATATTTCCTTTATCTGCAGGTGCTGCTGTTTTTTCAAACGAAGGAAAAGGAAAACTATACAACGCCACAAATGACTCTGGACACAGACAGATCATGGGGAGTTACTTACATGTTCATCTGCTGTCTTGTGATTAAAATCATCTCTGTAGTGACCACATATATTTTCAAGGACTCACTCTTAGAAACAAATATGTCATACTTTCATACTTCGTTTTGTGGTTGTCTTACATTCATATTTTTTTCTAATTTAACTTTTATGGAAGCTTTAAAGTTTTGTCAAAACATGAGTGCTTTGCCCATCAATGAATAGAATGGACCAATGAGGTGGTTTTGATGAATACAGTTCTATAGGACATTTTTCAGAAGCTCTTCTCCTGTTGTAGAAAACAGAGCAGTATCTTAAGTGTCAGCCAGTTATATATACCTAATTTGATTTTTTTTTATATCTTCTGTAAGAGGATAATCACCAGGAATTTTCTTCCCAGTGGATAATGCAACAGAGAAAACAGTTACCCAAATGTTTTTAAAAAAGTTATTCCTTGAGAAGTTCATATTTTGTGACATCTGCATTGATTTCAGTATTACTGATGGTACTGTTATTCATGGATCATATTAACATTCTCTCTGTGAAATCATGGTACAGTCACTGCCCAGAGGTACTGAGGAAAAAGCTCTATGAGTTCAGCAGATGGTTTGGTAAAATGAATCACAATAAGTGCGGGAAATATGAGCTCTGCTTTTGTTGCACCGCTATGTGAAGTACAGTGTTGTAGGAGTGGCAAAAGCGCTTATTTTTTAAAAATGCAAAATATTTGTATAATGTAACTTTATGCTTCCAGATAATAATGTATGTTAGATAGCAAGAAATGAATGCTTTGAGAAGTGACATGTTGGAATTTTCTTTTTTTTTTCTTAAATACACTAAGGAAAAGAAATAAATGTGAACCTCTTTGCAATGTATAAGGTTGAACCTAAGGAGATCCCACTGAAACCTACTGCTGAATGACTGACTGCATTCTCCCTTAAGCAGAAAACTTTGGATGTGCCATGCAATGGTGTCTTGTTTATTATTTTTGCTCTTTGATTAAAAAAAAAGACCCCCCCAGCAATAAAAACTGGGTCACTCTTTTTCCCTCTGTGCACATTAGTCTCTTGTATTCAACTTTGCTAGTCCTTGGAATTTTCCTACCCTTTAATATAATTTTGATGATTGAAAAATATTTTGAAAGGATGGGTCAGGTGCTTTGCCTCTATAGTCTTTTGAAGTGCCTGCATATGAACAAAGTAACAATTCTGTGAAAAAGGAAGCCCATTCCACTTTTCAAGTATGCTTTGTTTTAAGCCATAAGGACACAGCTGTACTTTTGTCATGTTGTAGTAGCCCGAGTTTTCAAGAAGGTTTAAAACAAAGACTGGCTAGAAATTGATCAAATCTCATATTCACCTCTCATTTATAAAATTGTTACTCTTTCCATGCAGTCTCTTCTTTGTCTTTAAGTGTGTGCCTCCAGGCATGCTTATTTATTTTTATTATCTCAAGGTAACATTTAAAATGTGTATTAAAGTAAATAAATCCACATTTTTTTACTTCATTATTACATTTACAGAGATTTAATTGTACTTTATAATTTATTTTTCTTATTAGCCAAAATTTCAGTGCAGTGTTTGGTAATTAGGCACCCATATGAACACCACAAATCAGGACATTATTTATCACTATTACTCTGAAATCTCTGAATGATCTTTTCTTGATTTTAAAGACCTACTTTCAGACTAGAAAACATTTGCTGTATAATTTGGTCAACAGTTTTCATTTCTGTTTCTTTGTTTACTGTCATGATGTCTTAAACTACAGGAGTCACTGAGTTTTTATTTTTGTTTGCTTTAAGTAAGGTAGATGGATGTTTTGGCCATTATAATGTGAAACCACTTCTTTCTTTACAGTATTTGACCAAATTTGTGTGTCTGTGATATTTGTAAATACATGCGATACCTGTATTTCTTATCATAAGCCTATTTAGTTTTATTCTCAGTAGGGTTTTTTGGACTGTACAGTGTTTATATGATCTGAACTCCTTATACATAAGAAGGTGTGTATAATAATCCAATTATGGACTTAAATATTTTAAAAGTATAAATACCCTTATTTGCTGCAAAGACCAGTGTGTTAGACATTTGCTTTTTAGCAATATTTTTAAGTGCTCCATTTTAATGCCAAGGAATAAGTCTTTTGGCAACACAAACTGGTCAATAATAGGTAATGCAGGTATGTTCAGGTGAAGCCAACGATGTTTTGCATTTTTATGCTTCTTTTCTGTCAACACTAATGAAGTCAACATTGCCTGAATGTCTGAATAATGAAACACATCCCTGTTTAAAAGTATGTAACTGAAAAAAAATTAAAAAATAAAGGTAGTTTTTTTAAACTTGCTCTTTCCCCTTTCCTCTAATCACAGGTAAAATAATCCCATTCATTAATTTAAGAGAGAAATTTTAAAAATTCAATTGATTGAGCCTATTACATGTATGAAGCAAAATTAGTTAAAGGAATATGGTTTTGTTATTTTTTTTTAATTTTGTTATTTTGATTTTGTTTTTGCTTCCCTTTGTTGGAATGCAATTGTAAGAAGCATATACCAGGAAGGATCTAAGCTTTGTTTTTAATTTTTTAAAAAAATTCTCTGAACTACTTAATAGAACGCTTAGTTACAGCTGTCTTCTAAAAAACAAAAGGAAATAAACAGAATAGTTTTATTCGTTTTAGAAAATAAAATCATACTGTTATGTTCACAGAAATTCAGTATAACTAATCCAGTTTTAAGTGCATGACTTTAAAAATCCTTACAGATGATGGCAAGCACATATTCCTGTCAATAACTCAGTTTATCATGATGCTAGGTGCTTTAAAGATTTTTGACCAAAAAGGTATTGATGGTGCTGTATTTAATAAAGATTGCTACAGATAAGATGTGACAAAGCAGCACACACTCAGCCCGTGAATAGTGTGTCTGCTAAGCACCAGAGACATTAGGAAACAGAAAAATCTGAAGATGATGTATAACCTTTAAAAGGCCCTATTTAGAAAAATCTGACATAAGATTGGGGTTCCAATCTCAATGATTATGTACTTGTCTTGGTAAGAACATTTTGAATGGCAAGTGATAGAAGCTTATGCTTGCTTAAGCAATTGGACTGTACATTATTTAATGGCAAAACCCAGTGGTAAAACTATCTTCAGATGGTTAATCCTGATGTTAAGATGAGAATCTTTTTCTCCATATCTCTTTGTGTAGCTTTCCATCTTGCTGTTTTTACTTCCCATATATGATGATAAAGTGGCCACCCAGTAGCTTGAGACCTTTACTGTACCATATTAGAAAATAATAAACTAGTAACTAGTAAAAACAATAGACCATTTTTCTCAAGAGTTTCAATAGAATTCTGACACTCACACCCCTTGCCCACATTGGTTTACTACTTCACCATGAGCCCCTTACTATGGATAAGAATCTGTTCTACCAATGTGTGAGACTGAGTCATGAATCCACCTTTAGAAGATGTGTAGTCTGAGAAATGAGGTAAAAAAAAGGAGCTACCCAAAAGGAAATCAGGATATTATAATCAAAAGGAGAGTGATTAGTTATTGAGCAGGCAAAAATAAATAGATAACCCCATCATACTAAAGAAAATAAAGTACAGCATATAGGCAAATGTAATTGTTTTAAATTAGAAAACATTTTTTTCTCAGAATTGTATAAACATGGATATATTATTAGAAGTCACTTATATAGTGAATGGGTACATCTGAAAAATGTTTGGGACTTAGATGTAAAGGAAAGTTACAAGTACCTTATTTGGTATGTTTTGGTTTTTAGCTTTTCAGGGTTTTGGTAGAATTAGGGTTAGAAGAGTTAAAAAGCACTTTTAAAAAATTAGTAAAAATAAGTGTTATTATAAAAATTTGCCATTCTTCAGGATAACTAGTTTCTTTTCTCTGCCCACATTTGGACCCATGTAAGTTATTAGGAAATTTGCATCTTAAGAACACATGGCTCGTAACCAAAGAAAGGACTATATATAGAAGTATTTCAGGTAATATTTCTAAGATATGAAATTGGTTTTGTTAGAATAATTGTTTATAGGGATGTTTACTATACTGTAATTTAAATAAACATTCCTGCACTTCTCTGGACTAGAGGTTGGCAAACTACTTTTTAGGAAAGCTTATGCTCTATTGAACCAAGAGGTAAAATTGAGGCTTTTATATACTTAAGCAATGAGAGAGAAAACAAATTTCCACAAATATTTTACTGATGAAATTAAAAAATATATATTAATACTTGAATACTTTTTTGTATTTCAGGTTTATTAATGATAATTAAATTATTTTGAGGTGATAGTATGCCACTTAGTTGGGGTTTGAAATTGATGACAAATATTCATCTTTTAATGCTGATCTGTAATGTCATTTTTCATTTTTCATCTTTGAATTTTTTTTTGCCACACAGACAGGTATTACCAAAACTGTCATCAATCTTTGCATGTGTGACTTTGAGCATAGTAATCATTTGAAATGAATTTATAGAATTCCGCTGCATTCTCTTGATATTTGCCATTTAGCATATCATTGTATTGTAGATTAATCACTTCCTATTGAAAGTTTGGTAGATTCTCCTTGATTGTACTGTTAAATGGGTTTTGCATTATGGAAATTTCCTGTGCAATTGCATTGAGTTCCAAAACTGTAGCTAGAAATGAGGTTGATATTGGAAAAGACATCCACAGTAAATTTGTGTGGGAATGTAGATCAATGTTCTTTTAACTTGATAGTATGGGAATTGTGTTAACCAGCTTGACATTACTCGTGATTTAAATAACATAAGTTATCAAAATAACTTGCAGTGTAAGTCACATTTAAGTGCCATTTTTTGTTGAAACATTAGGTTAGATTTATTAACACTATCAAGCCTGCAGCAAAAGTTTTAATTTCCAAAATTATTCAATGTTCTGTAATAGTAATTGAGGGTGACTAGTCTCAAATAAAAATTTTAGTCCTGTTTGGAGGTCAAAAAAATTACAATAAAACTTACCACTGCCATTGAAAGTGGTAAAATTTGGACAAATCATTATATTCAACTTCTATTTCTGACAAAATTTAATAGATCTAGTGATAGTTAATTAAGACTTTACTAGTTCAAGAACATAATAGATTCAAATATTTTCCATATAATATTTGGTGATGCATAATACTATGAAAATCTACCAACTTTAGACATCCTACATTTTCATAGGCTTTGTAAATTTGTCTAACCTAGCTTTTCATACTCTACACATTTTTTTTTTTTTAACCACTATCAATTATAGCACATCTTAGGAGATTCCACTGCAGGTTGTACTGAATTAGTATTTTCTGGATTTCTTTGAAAATACTTTTCTTCTGCAGTTGAGTTCCATACAGAGTATTCTTTAAGGCTAATTCTTGAGTCACTTCAATTTCAGCATTGACTTCTTTTTTTTTTTTTGGATTTTTTTTTTTTAATTTTTTATTGTTGGCTGTTCAAAACATTACATAGTTCTTGATATATCATATTTCACAATTTGATTCAAGTGGGTTATGAGCTCCCATTTTTACCCCATATACAGATTGCAGAATCACATCAGTTACACATCCATTGATTTACATATTGCCATACTAGTGTCTGTTGTATTCTGCTGCCTTTCCTATCCTCTACTATCCCCCCTAACCTCCCCTCCCCTCCCCTCTTCTCTCTCTGCCCCCTCTACTGACATTCGTTTGTCCCCCTTGTATTATTTTTCCCCTTCCCCTCACTTCCTCTTGTATGTACTTTTGTATAACTCTGAGGGTCTCCTTCCATTTCCATGCATTTTCCCTTCTCTCTCCCTTTCCCTCCCACCTCTCATCCCTGTTTAATGTTAATCTTCTTCTCATGCTCTTCGACCCTACTCTGTTCTTAGTTACTCTCCTTATATCAAAGAAGACATTTGGCATTTCTTTTTTAGGGATTGGCTAGCTTCACTTAGCATAATCTGCTCTAATGCCATCCATTTCCCTGTAAATTCTATGATTTTGTCATTTTTTAATGCAGAGTAATACTCCATTGTGTATAAATGCCACATTTTTTTTATCCATTCATCCATTGAAGGGCATCTAGGTTGGTTCCACAGTCTAGCTATTGTGAATTGTGCTGCTATGAACATCGATGTAGCAGTGTCCCTGTAGCATGCTCTTTTTAGGTCTTTAGGGAATAGACCGAGAAGGGGAATAGCTGGGTCAAATGGTGGTTCCATTCCCAGCTTTCCAAGAAATCTCCATACTGCTTTCCAAATTGGCTGCACCAATTTGCAGTCCCACCAGCAATGTACAAGTGTACCCTTTTCCCCACATCCTCGCCAGCACTTGTTGTTGTTTGACTTCATAATGGCTGCCAATCTAACTGGAGTGAGATGGTATCTTAGGGTGGTTTTGATTTGCATTTCTCTGACTGCTAGAGATGGTGAGCATTTTTTCATGTACTTGTTGATTGATTGTATGTCCTCCTCTGAGAAGTGTCTGTTCAGGTCCTTGGCCCATTTGTTGATTGGGTTGTTGTTCTCTTATTGTCTAATTTTTTGAGTTCTTTGTATACTCTGGATATTAGGGCTCTATCTGAAGTGTGAGGAGTAAAGATTTGTTCCCAGGATGTAGGCTCTCTATTTACCTCTCATTGTATCTTTTGCTGAGAAAAAACTTTTTAGTTTGAGTAAGTCCCATTTGTTGATTCTAGTTATTAACTTTTGTGCTATGGGTGTCCTATTGAGGAATTTGGAGCCCGACCCCACAGTATGTAGATCGTAGCCAACTTTTTCTTCTATCAGACGGCGTGTCTCTGATTTGATATCAAGCTCCTTGATCCATTTTGAATTAACTTTTGTGCATGGCGAGAGAAAGGGATTCAGTTTCATTTTGTTGCATATGGATTTCCAGTTTTCCCAGCACCATTTGTTGAAGATGCTATCCTTCCTCCATTGCATGCTTTTAGACCCTTTATCAAATATAAGATAGTTGTAGTTTTGTGGATTGGTTTCTGTGTCCTCTATTCTGTACCATTGGTCCACCCACCTGTTTTGGTACCAGTACCAAGCATTGACTTCTTAAGTTAGCAAAAACTGGGTAGTATTGGTGACATTTGTTAACTCATCAAAAGTCAAGGAAAACTATTTGATATCATTTGCTAATTTCATTGTTGTGACACCATGGGGTCCTAATGTATTCAAGAATATTCTTGCCAGGAAGCTAGTTATTTTGTCAGAAACAAGTTTATTTTCTCTGGACATACTTTCTGGCTGCTGCAATCAAGCATAATTAATATACCACTAGTAAACGGCTTTCTTTGCTTGGCTAACAAATGAGTTCCTCACAAATTTACTTGGATTGTATCTTCATTCTCGT